GGGGGGGGGGTCAGTGGGGATGTATACGGGGCGGGGGACCCTCCGGGGAGAAGGCGGGGTGAGGGTCCCTAGGAGCGAAATCGGGGTGATGGTGAGGTCCCTGGGAAGAGAGCACGGAACAGTGGGGTCCCTGAGTAGTGAATTCGGGTGAGGAGGGGTCCTAAGGGGAGAAGACGGGGTGGGGGGCCCCGAAAAGTGAAATCGTGGTGATAGTGAGGTCCCTGTGGGGAAAAGATGGGGTGTGGGTCCCTTGAGTGGCGAAATCGGGGTGAAGGGAGGTCCCTGGGAGGAGAGCACAGAGCGGTGGGGTCCCTGAGGTGTGCATTCAGGTGAGAGGGGGTTTTGGGGTGAGTGGATGGGGTGAGGGTCTCTGAGGGATGAGGTCGAGGTGGGGGGGTCTCTGAATGATGAGATGGGACTGAGAGGAGGCCCCTATGGAGAAGAGATGGGGTGTTGGGCCCCAGAATAGCAAAACTGGGGTGATTGGGGGATCCCTGATTAGCGAAATTGGGGTGAATAGAGGTCCCTGAGTTGTGAGATTGTGGTGAGGGGACCCTGAGGGGAAAAGATGGTGAGGAGTGTCCTGAGAAGTGAAGTCATAGTGAAGGAAGGGTCCCTGAGTAGTGAGGGTGAGCGTGAGGGGTCTTGGTTGGGAGGAGGAGGTGAGGGTTTCTGGGTGGTGAGGATGGGTTGGGGGTCTGCTGGGGGGGGTCCCTGTGTGGTCTGGCTGGGGTGAAGTGAGTTCCTGAGTAGTGAGGCTGGGAGATCCCAGAGGAGGGGGCTGGGCCGGCGGGGTCAGGATGTGGGGGGAGGTCTCTAAGGGAATTGGGGAAAGGGAGCCTCAGAGACTAAGGACACCTGAGATGATCCTGCTAGTTGCGGGGGGGGGGTATCTTCTGAAGCTGAGAAGTGGTGTGGATGTCCCAGGAGGCTGGGAAGCAAGGAATGAGAGGGATTTGGAGGGGGGGTTGTGTGGGGAGCCTACCGGGACCCCCGAAAGCAGATAAGCAGATCCTGAAGCAAATGGATGAGAAAAGCTTCCTTAAGGGAGCCACTGGAGTAGCGCAGGAAGTTCGAGGCGATGGAGGGGATGAGGACTTAGGGGGCTTCCGAAAAGCCGGGGAAGGGGACAGAGAGCATCCGGGGGTGGGGGTTACACGATGGCAGAATTGTGTTGTGTGAGCACAAGGGCAGGTGACTCAGTGTTGAGGGCACACATTCGTGAGGTCACGGCCATGTTGACCTGACCATTCCTGATCTCAAGGCTGGAGTGGATAGGGTGGTCCCAGGGACCCCTAGCCAGGGTCTGTTTGCTATGCTTGTGGTGTGTCCCCATGAGAACGAGGTGTACTGGATGGATGACACGTTTGTTGGCCTCACCTGCTCAGGTTCTTGGCTTTCTGTGTCCTGGATGAGGAGGAGACCCTCGACACGTATGCAAGTTAACATTGCATTGAGTTAACGTTGAGGACCTGTAATCTTAATTTTAAAAATCCAAGTAAGTTTTAGAGCTGGCTGGTTAACTCACCTGGGAGAGCATGGTGCTGGTAACACCAAGGTCAAGGGTTTGCATCCCCTTACCGGCCAGCAACCCAAAAATAAAAAACCTGCTCCTTGTTCTTACATGTTCTTATAAAGGACTCTTTCTTCATATTCTCTTCTGGCTTTTATGTGGTTTCTGCTTCCCATGCCTTCAAGAATTCCTCTGGGAGAGGAAGCCAGCCATAGGAATTGCAGGATTTTTTTTTTTTTTTAAAGATGACCGGTAAGGGGATCTTAACCCTTGACTTGGTGTTGTCAGCACCACGCTCACCCAGTGAGCAAACCGGCCATCCCTATATGGGATCCGAACCCGGGGCCTTGGTGTTATCAGCACCGCACTCTCCCGAGTGAGCCATGGGCCGGCCCAGGATTTTTTTTTTAAGATTCTCGTTTATATAGGCACAATTGAGTTTTCCAGTACTTTTGAGACAGATTAATCAGCTGACCCCAGAGTGCATTTCAGAAGTTACAGGGTGTTGACTTCTGAAGTCTGGCCTCAGAAGCTGCATCTTTAGCCCTACCGTGATCAAATTTATCCGTTCATTCATTCATTCATTCATTCATATTAATTCCTCTGCTTTCTCTTCTACTTCTCAGCATCTTGCCATTACTTCTTTATCCAGGTATTCAGTGAGCACCCACCAGGTCCCCATCCTGACTCAGGGGACACTCAGAAAAGCAGGGGTGTGAGCACTGCAGCTTCCTTGTGTTGCAATTATTTAACCCTTGTGAGTCTGTTCCCTCCTGCCTGGGCAGGGACTCCACAAGACCCGCCTCCCACGGTGATGAATTAAATGAATTGGTGTTAGTAAAGCCCAGGAAATGGTGCTTGACCCCCTGCCTTCCAGCGAGCTCTTTGTAGCACCAGTTCAGGTGACATCGCTGAGCAATCAGGTCCCCTTGATTCTGGCCCATGTGCCCCTTTGCTCATGCTTCTTTATGTCATAGGCGAGTAATGGTCGAACTTGGTGATTGGGAGTTTCCTGGCAGAACGTACAATGTCCCTCATCATCCCTTGCTTGAATCCCCTCTATGGCCACCAACCTTGGATTTAACACCTTCCAGAACTGGTGGCTGAGCACTGCTGCAGGCGGCCTGGGCTCACTTAGAGACTTTTAGAGCTGCACCATCTAATCCAGTAGCCCCTGGCCACATCCAGCATTTAAAATGTGGTTTGTACAAATTCAACAGAGCTGTGAGTGTAATATGCACATTCCAGATTTCAAAGACTTAATAGGAACAAAAATGTAAAATAAACATTCATTAAGTTTTTTATAGTGGTTACACATTGGAAATGATAATATTTTTGATGGATTAAATCAAACGTTGTTATAATTTCGCCTCTTTCTCTTTTTTTAACATGAGCACTAGAAAATTCTAAATCACACACATGGCTTACATCCTCATTCATCTGTACTGCACTGGGTTAGTTCTTGTGAGCATTGAGCTAAAGCATCTGCCTGTTACAGAGAGCTGCTTTTTACTCCAGGATCTGGTTCAAAGTCAAGGCATTCGTGAAAGCTTCAAGTCAAAATTTCCTTTAAAAATTCCTTGAATCACACAGTAAAGTGCAACATACATGGTTGTTTTTTTAATAAGCGGGTTCAGGAACGTTGTGTGCGAATGAATGCGAAACATTCACAGTACTGAGCAGGGTATAAGATCGTGTTGGTAGCATGAAATGCCCCAGGATTGTCTGCATTGTTTAAATTCTCCCCTCACCTCTTTCCCCGCCAGTGCCGATGTTTAATTCATGCAGTTAAATGCACCTAGGAGGCAACTTCTGTCTTCCACCCATTGATTCCGGTCCTTTGCTCTGAGGCCAATCAAAACACCTTTTCCTCCATCCTCAGCAAAGACAGGAATCCTCACCTAGGCTTTCCCTCACCTGCTTCCCAGTCCCCTCATCTCCTGCCAGTGTGGTCTGGGGGCCTTGCGTTGGGAAGGGAGCCTCCTGGGTCTTTTGTGCTGGAGCTTGTCCTCAAGGTCACAAGACCTCCTAGCCTTTGTAAGCGGGGATCGAGGTGTCGTCCCCGGGAGCTGGCCTTAGCTTCTGGTCTGCAGGGGATACACATGTCACTCTTTTCTGCTATGTTGTGAGCCCATGGAATGCAGGAATCAGGTCCCCTCCATCCCTGTGTCCTCCTGGGGCTTGACACGCCGTAGCCATGCAGGAAACATGGTGCGGGTGTTGTTATCGTTCGGTGGCTGGCACGTTCTTTGCTAACCCTTGCCTTTGGGGTCTCTGCAGAGCAAACTTGGTGGACCTGCAGAAGAAGCTTGAGGAGCTTGAACTTGATGAGCAGCAGAAGAAGCGGCTGGAAGCCTTCCTCACCCAGAAGGCCAAGGTTGGTGAGCTCAAGGACGATGACTTCGAGAGGATCTCAGAGCTGGGAGCCGGCAATGGCGGGGTGGTCACCAAAGTGCAGCACAGACCTTCCGGCCTCATCATGGCCAGAAAGGTGAGGAGCGACTGGCAGCAGGGCAAGCATCCTGTCCCTGTGCTGTGTGGTCGGTCAGTCAGTGTGTGGCAGGGACCGGTCCCCTCTGCAAACGGGAGGTGACCAGGCCTGTGCTTTCTGACTGGCTCTGACTTCTGCCTTCGAGAACATTTTAAATTCAGATTCCCAGAAATGTCTGGATATCCCAGAAATGGGCGGGCTGGCTGGAGAAAGGTGTTTTTAGGAATATTAGTCCATTAGTCAGGGTTCTTTAGAGAAACAGAACCAGTAAGGGGGGGGGAGAGAGAGAGAGAGAGAGTGTGTGTGTGTGTGTGTGTGTGTGTGTGTACACAGAATAGGAGATTTATTTTAAGGAATTAGCTCATGCAAGTATGGAGGCTGTCAACTCTGAAATCTGTAGGGCCGGCCAGCAGAGCAGGCAGGAGACCCAGGGAAGAGCTGAAGTTGCAGCTCAAGTTCAAAGGCATCAGCTGGCAGAATTCCCTCTTCCTAGGGGGTCGTTGTCTTTTTTTCTCTTGGGCCTTCAACTGATTGGATGAAGCCCACCCATGCTATGGAGGGTCATCTGCTTTACTCAGAGTCCACTGATTTAAACGTTCATAATATCTAAGAATACCTTTCCAGCAACATCTCAGCTGGTGTTTGACCAAACAGCTGGGCACCATGGCCTGGCCTAATGAACACATAAAGTTGACCATCCCCCGTGCTTTGGGATACCACAGACCCTGGTGCTAATGAGCACGCTCATCCTGGGGGCCCCCCTGCTGCCATAATGCAGCTTCTCCACTGTGTGTTTGAGAAGAGTCCCCAGGAGACATAGGGAGTTCAACCACAGACCCTGGTGCTAATGAGCACGCTCATCCTGGGGGCCCCCCTGCCGCCATAATGCAGCTTCTCCACTGTGTGTTTGAGAAGAGTCCCCAGGAGACATAGGGAGTTCAGATGACAAGGGCGTGACCATTTGGATGTAGTGGCTCCTGAACACCTAACTGGGGGGACTTGGTGTTGACAAGTTGTCCAGCTCCTCAGGTGAGATCTTCAGATGTAGAAAGCCACCTTTTCCTGGAAGCCCATCACCCTGTAGTTCTCCAAACTGAGTCCTCAGAAACCTGGGCAGCCCCTGCATGGGTGGATCCGTGCTGGTCCCCGCATCGCTCCAGGGGCCTGCGGTTCCCAGGAACGGTGCACTCAGTTTCTGTTGGGATTTAGCTCTGCAGCTATTTCTCCTCTCCTCTAGAACACCTCCCTCCCTCCTGAAATCTGCAGCCACGGACTTTCTATTTCTGTCCCCTTACTGTAGGCAGCCTTTTCAAAAATCAGAGCAGCCCTGGAAATCTTGGGTCTGCCGTCACCTGCAGCACGGGTAGTGAAAAGGCAAACATGTGATTCAGACAGCAATAAGGGGCCTCAGGACCAGAGCACCGGTCCAAGTATGTGTCCAGAACCAAGGGCGTCTCGGGCCAGTCAGGGTGTCTTCCAGGCAGTCCCTGATGTGCCGTGCAGTGGACGTGAACCCTGTACCTCCCATGTGTGTCCACAGCACAGTGCACCAGCTGAAAGGTGGAGATTACACCAGCAGTTTATCTACAGTTTTGCTGTGGCCTATAATGTAAGATTCGGGTGCTTAAAACTGTGGAAGGCGTGGCCGGATAGGTTCTGTGGTCTAGTGAGTGGTATTGTCCTGATGTCAGTTTCTGGTTTGCTATCATCCTTCCGTCAAACAAGATGTCGTCTATGGGGGAAGCTGGGTGAAGGGTACACAGGCCTCTCTGTACTATTCTTGCAATTTCTTGTGCTTCTATAATTCTTTTAAAATTAGAAGTTTTTGTTTGCTTGATAAAGGGGCGAAGGCAATGGGAGTAGGAGAAGACACATTGAGCAGGAAGGTAGTCTAGCTGGATGTCATCGTGGTTCAGGGCTATCTCTCCCTTATAGACCGGGCACCTTCAGCCAGTCTGGAGGTCAGGGGCTCCATTCAGAATGCCAGTTCACCCCAGGGGACTTTTGGCCTTCATTAGGCTGAAGGGTGCAAATACAATTCCGAATTCCTCTGGAAAACAATGTGAATTCCACATGTATCATAAGGACTTACTGCAAACAGATCTCCAAAGGCAGACGCCCACAGGCCTGTGCAGACCCCTCTCTGTGGCCAGCAGCCTTAGTTGCCAGCATCCCTCTGGTCAGCAAGGATTATCCCAACCTGTGTGACTTATGCCAACAAGACTAGTTCTAGAAGTCCCAAGCAAAACCGTCTCTTGATGTTTACGGTGCTTATTTGTAAACATTTTCTGGACTAGAGTGTGGCTTTCTGGACTCCTTCAGTGTTCTTCTGAGAGCCATAGGCACAGAATCTCTGTATTACTTGGGCCAGGAGACATTGGCGAAGGACTTACTCTGTGTGTTGGGCACGCAGGGCTTCTTTGAATTCTGTGTACTTGTAGCAAAGAAGTGTTTTTTTTGGCCTTGCCCTTGCTTTTCACTGATCTGTTCTGGCTTCTAGAATGGCAGTCATGTGACCTGCCTGAGGCTGCATAACCACACTAGCTGCCATCTTGCAAGCAATACCCTGTGTCAAAGCGGATGCTAACACCTTGACTTGTGTTTTCCTTAAAATCGAGCGACAGCTCCATATTGCAGGTGAGAAAACTGAGGCTGATTGGGTCAGCGTCTGAGCTGGGTTTGAATCCTCTCGGGTTTGTCCTTGAGTATGGACCCTCACTTGGGAGCAGCTGTCGGGCCACAGCCTCCAGAATCCACTGCGCTCTTGGTCTCTGGCCCGACTCCTAACTGGTTTCCTGCTTCCAGCTGTGAAGGGGTCATCCTCAGATCGCATCACCTGCAGTTTGAGGGCTATTTTGTGCAATTTGAGGTCTTTACCGTGGAGGGCTTTCCTCATCAAGGGGCCACCTCCAAGTGCTGGGCCAGGTGCCCACAGAGACCTGCGATGTGTGTTAGGTTGGCACACGAGCAAATGACAGCCTCATGCAGCAGGATCCACCTCTTCTGATATTTGATAATAGCTAATTCAGAGTGTCTGGAAACACGATTGGGCCACACGCATCTGCTGGCTGATGAGCTCGTGAACCATCAGCTCGCAACCCAGGATTTAGGGTGTTGCGGAGGTCACTACAGGCCCAGCCCTGTGGGCGCTGCAGGCTGGCCTGTCCCTTTCCTTCTGTTCCTCACTGTCGCCCAGGAAAGCCCTTCCTCATTTGTACAGCCCAACTCCACTCCTGACTCAGAATCCTCAGTCTTCAGGAAAAAGCGACTTCATCTCCTAGCTGGGCCTGGTGCTTGCTCTGAGCACCTAACACCATTCGTAGTGAATCAGCTGCTCACCCAGGCTTTGGCTTTCCTTGAGGTGGTGCCACCGGGAACACGATTCAGAGTCTCTGAACCCCACCTTGCTCCATCCTTGAGATGGGGCAGTTACCCCTGCCCCCCAGGGTTGTCAGGGCGAATCTCTAAGCACATGGGTGCTCAAAAGCGTTCCCCTCCCTTCCCACCTGCTCCTCTTTCTTCCTTTTTCTCTCCACACCCTCTGGTCTTCGTCAACCTGGAAAGCTTACTTTGCAAGCCCCAGATACCACAGGACACTGAGACAGAGACCAGGCAGCAGCAGCCCCACGCACGCTGGTCTTCTGCACCACAGCGTTCCAGAAAGCTCTTACTTTACAGTGAGGACTCAAGGGATTTCATCCAGTTCTGCCAAGTCTTGCCTGCCACGTCCTCTTCTCTGAAAGCCCAGTGCCCTCTCGCTGTTCTCCCTGTCATTCTTCCATACACGGTGCCTTTGAAGTTATTGGTCGAGAGCCCCACCGCCCACCAGGGCAGCCCCTGGTCAGATGTGGCTCCTGAACGCTTGAGATGCGATCAGTCCAAATCTAGGTGTGCCATCTGTGCAAAACACAATGGTTTTCAAGGGCTTGGTGTGGAAGAAAAAATCTCTTATTTTCACATCAGTCAAACATCTAAATGAAAATTCTTTGGCACATCAGTTAAGCAAAATACGTGAAAAGTTCATTTCACCTGTTGCATTTTACTTTTCTAAACGCAGCAGCAACTGGATGATTTAAAATCTTAAAATCAAGTACGCGGCTGGCGTCATATTTCCTTGGACAGTGCTGGGTCTGTCCGTGCGCCTTGCTGTGTACGCCCCCCTCGCCTCCCAGAGTTAGCCTCTCCGCCTCCACATAGAAGCGGAGCTTCAATATCAGACCCTTTTGAAATGTGCATTTGAGGGGCTGGCCAGTGAGCTCAGCTGGTTGGAGTGTGATGCTGATAACCCCAAGGTCAAGGGTTCAGATCCCCGTACTGGCCAGCCGCCAAAAGAAAGAAAGAAATGTACATGTGGATGTTGGTCCTCACCTTACAGGTTCAGTCCTGCTGGAGGAAAGAGCATCCTGGGGTTCTGGGGTGACCCCCCCTACCATGCTGGGAGTGGCTGTGGCAGGAGTGGGGCATCCCAGGGGCCCATGGCCAGAGCTGGACTCGGCAGGCTGGGTTGGGTGGAGAAGCAGAACACAAGGGGCAGTCAAAGCCGGGGGCTCCAGTCAAGGTGGACGTGACTCTGCCTGGGGAGAGGGACCTGCCAGGGCCTCGAGGTCACAGGCTTGGTGAGCCCCCTCAGCCCCCCACTCTTGCCCCACGGGGTCGCCATGGTCTGCATCCTGCTACCCCTGAACTCGCTCGTGCTCCTTCATGTCTCGTGCCCTCCAACAGGTAGCTCTTTGTCCCTCCAACTGTAGGGGGATCCCCTTCACCCTCCTTGTCCTTTTGGCGACTCCTACCCTGCCTTCAAGAAATTAACCCAGGTGCTCAGGAAACAGCAGTGGGAAGACAACACCCGGGTTCATTTCTCCCAGGTCGGCGTCCTTTTACCCAGTTTTCCCCTCCATGCAGTGAGCGTCTTAGCCGTCTCTTTCTCTCCACCACTGGCCGCCCTGTGACTGACTCTCTACACAAACATTTGTTGACTCAATGACAATCATTTTCAGATACCCATTGACCTGGCATTGACTCCATAATGCACGCATAGACACTGGATCTTTTTCCTGTCTTACCGCGATGGCTGGAGTGCGAGCCTTTAACTGGCCAAGACGTTGACCCGAAGCCCCAGGTTCCTTCTTGCTGGGTGGCGGGTTCTTGGCTCTGTTGGGGTTTGTCATTGGGAGTTGATCATGGCATTTTATCAGGCATCCTTTCTGCCCGTCTTGAGAGGGTCCTTTGGCTTCTCACCTTGTGAAACGTGATGAATTTGACAGTGATTTCCTTGGGTTCTTGGCTCCGTTGGGGTTTGTCATTGGGAGTTGATCATGGCATTTTATCAGGCATCCTTTCTGCCCATCTTGAGAGGGTCCTTTGGCTTCTCACCTTGTGAAACGTGATGAATTTGACAGTGATTTCCTCGGCTGACTTGAACTCATGTGGAACTCACAAGGAAAGAGGGTTAGAATCCTCAGGGGGCGGCCTCAGTGCGGTGTCTCCATCCTGGAGGTAGGAAGGGGCTCCAACTGCACCCACCCCTGGCTGAGAGAGGGGTCAAGGCGGAGTAATCACCCCATCTGAGTTTTGGGAAAGGCTGGTACTTTGTTTTGGTGGCAAGAAAAATCCTCTTAACCCAGCTGCTACTATAGACAAGTAAAAAATGTTTGCTCTGTCAGTCTTTTTTTTAACAGCTTTATTGAGATGTAATTCACATACTGTACAACGCCCCCTTCTAAAGTGTGCCGTTCAGTGATTTGTAGTATATTCACAGCTTTGTACCACCATCACCAGTCAGTTTTACAGCATTTCCATTCCCCCAAAAAGATACCCTGTCCTCATCAGCAGTCACTTCCCAGTCTCTCTCTGACCACCCCCTGGCAACCTAATCTGCTTTCTGTCCCTATCGATTCACCTATGCTGGATGTTGGCCTTTTGTGTCTGGCATCTGTCACTGAGCGTGATGTGTTCAAGGTTCATCCATGCTGTAGCGTGTCAGAGCCTCGCTCCTGTTCGTGGCTGAGTGATGTTCCAGTGTGTGGATGGGCTGCATTCTGTTTATCCATTCATCTGCTGAGGGACATTGGGCGTCTCCACCTTTTGGCTACTAAGAATCGTGCTGTTGTGAACGTTTGTGGACAAGTCTCTGTGTGGATGTATGTTTTCAGGGCTCTTGGGCAGACATCTAGAAGTGGAATTGTCAGGGCTCAGCTGGTCTTGAACACTGTTGTGAATGCCTCCAGGGCAAAAGGCCAAAGCCTCCACCCCCACCCTGGCACCCCTAAGCATCCTGATCTTGACCCTGTCCCCTCGCAGCTGATCCACCTTGAGATCAAGCCAGCCATCCGGAACCAGATCATCCGCGAGCTGCAGGTTCTGCACGAGTGCAACTCCCCCTATATCGTGGGCTTCTACGGGGCCTTCTACAGCGACGGGGAGATCAGCATCTGCATGGAGCACATGGTGAGTGCAGCGGGGGACACCAGGGTGGTGGGAGGTGGCCAGGGAGGGTCTCTTGTGACCTGGAAACCAAGCAGGGGTCCCCAGAACCCCCAGCCTTGTGACCAGGTGCACATGCACAGGATCAGGAATTCCCACAGAACAGGAGGTGGTCCAGGGAAAAGGATGTCTCCCCACTGGGACCCGTGGGTCCGCCGTCCGCAGAGGCCACAACGCTCCAGTTTCAAAGGGATCTCTGGGGGTGGTCAGTGCCCACACGAGTGAGTGCATTGGTAGATGCCTCAGTTATTTAAATACTCCCTTCCCCTTCCCAACTTGACTTCACTTGATGCATCTTGGAAATCGTTCCCTGTCAGCATAGAGAGCGCTGTGCCCATCTTTCTGCCCGCCATGCAGCAGTCCAGCGTGTGCGTGTATCTGGCTGGTGACTTACTATGCTCACCTTTGTTGTCATGCACTTGGCTTATTTCCAGTCTCTGCTCCATCGCAAGTAATGCTGTGGCCACCATCCCTGTGCATCTGCAGGCACACCTGGAGGGCAAAGTCCTGCAGTGGAATTGCTGGGTTCAGAGTGTATGCAATTATAATCGATCGCAGTTTCCATGTGGCCCTCTGAGGAAAGAGGGGCTATTTGAGGAGCTGATGGCAGGCCAGCCCCATGCCTACACGCCTGCCTGTGTCTGCGGGATCACAGTCTAGGGTGGGGTATGGGCGCCTGTCATCTTGTCAACCAGCAGTGGCTGCTGATGTGCCCCCTCATGCAGACACGCTGGTTTTGAAGCTCAGACATGGGTGGGATTGAGTGTAACAAAAGCAGAAGTGTTCAGAGTTGAGGGCCCCGGGAGGAAATGCCCCCTGTGAACCACCCTGCTCAGGCCTCAGCCTCCTGCTGCACATCTCCCCTTGCAAAACCAGGATGCGGCGTGGCTTGGCCTCAGTTACACCTTGCAGACGCTCTGGCCCCTGTGACAGTTTTGTAATGAAAGCAGGAAATGAATTTGAGCAAGGCCTGCCCCCCTCCCCCGCCCCGCTTTTAACCCTGCCATCCGAGCAAGGCAGCACCTGGTCGCAGAGCCCCTGTCCTTAACCTGGGAGGGGCAGTCGTGTCTGCCCCTCCTGCCTCACACAGTCATCATGCAGGCGAGAAAAGGATGAGAAGGAGCTTTGTGGTCTGAGGCAGCCACTCTGTCCCCTCTGTATTGCAGCATGTCTGCTTGGGAGCTCTGCCTGGTCTACCTTCACATTGGGACTTAGCTCTCAAAGTCTCCTGCCTTCCATGCAGCAAACGCAGAGCATCACAACGCAGCCCCCACCTTCTGTTCTTGGTGAATTTAAAACAGTGGTCCCCAGAGTGGGTGCTAGCACCCAGCAGGCCACCAAAGGCACCGCCGGGATGCAGGAGGGAATGGAGCCATCCTATTTGTGTTTACTGGGCTCATCCTTTAAAACCTCCTCGTTCTATTTTTTTTTTTTTTTGGCAGTGCTTGTATAGGGATCTGAATCCTGGACCTTGGTGTTATCAGCACCATGCTCTAACCAACTGAGCTAACCGCCCAGCCCCAGTTTTCTTCTCTGCTTTTGTAATGAGTATTTGGAGACAGTAGACCACGTATACAACACACACATAAAATGACACGTGTTCAGGTGTGGCCCATATGTCCTCTCACCATGTGACTGGGCGTGACTCTTGCAACTTCTGTAAAGTCAGGGAGTTCGAAGTCCCTGCTGGGTGAGGACTGAATGAGCAGATCCACAAGTGGGGCTCGGCACACACAGATTGTTGAATAGAACCCCGCTGTCGTCCTTGCTGTGCGGCCGTTTCCCTGTGTTTCTACGTCAGCTTCATTTCTCATTCTTTCCAGTCATGTGACATTCTACCTAGTCAGGATCCCCGTACTGTGGAGCTCTTCCCTGATCTGAGGCGAGGTTTCATCTCTGCACAAGGTTTGTGTGCAAACTGGCTCTTGTTTGTGATCTGGTAGATTCCAGCTCCAGCTTGCGAGACAAGACCCCCTAACTATAATGGGTCTCGTAATTATAGTATTATTATAACTGTTATATAATATATATTAATATCATTAATTGTATATAATGAATATGTTATATAATTAATTTATATATTTGTGTATTGATAAATATAGTTATTAATATAAGCAGCACAGATTTGGTGCAGAATGTTAAACCTCTCCTGGCCAGTGCCTGTTGGCACCTAGGGTTTAGGAGTGCAGGATGGCTGCTGCCCTGTGGCCAATGCTAATATTGGGAGAACTTGGGGCGTGAACATGTTGTGGGCAATGGGGTTTGCTAGGGTAAGAGTGGACGCAAGCAGCTTCCTGACCACGCAGAGTCGCCTCTTGGTATTTCCTGGGTTCTAGTCAAATCTACTGAAGAATGCACTCCCTTGTTCTACAGTAATGAAAAATCAGACTTGCCCATCAGTTCGGGCTGATTACAGAATGATACTGAGCCTTTTTGCAGGGATAAAATGAAATCCACACATGTGTACCAAAAGCGAAAATCCCCAATGATGTACTTTGGGGGGGATATGCAGTGTGAGCCCATTTATATACTCTGTATTTCCCTATGCATATGGGTGTGTGTGTAAATGCATAGAAAGTTCTGCAAGAATATAAGTCACACTTCTAGGGAGGAAGTAAAATTTCTGGGCCATCAGAGGGTTATTTATATACATTAGAATTTTTTTGTAAGAAAAATGTATTCATGCGCTGCCTGCTTAAGAAAAATAAAAATTCAAGAATGTGTAAAATACACACCACACACACACACACACACACAAAAGCGTACAGTCATGCACAAAGTGAGATCTGGGGTCACAGAGACCTCACTGCAGTATCTCCTGTGCCACATCCTGTCTCTGTGACTCAGGCAAAGCCCACCTTACTGATGTCACCTCTTCAGAGCACACACACTTAGGCATCAGGTCCCACTCTTCCTCACCTTTCCTCATTGGGAGCACAGGGGACAGACACAGGACAGGTGCCAAGAAGTGAAGCAGTCAGCTTCAGCAAGGAAGCCATGTAGGGGACCTGGACACTCAGGCGACCTGCTTCATCTCCTTTCTCCTGCCCTGAGTGTTCCCAGTGTCACCTCCTCGTCCTCACGTTTGCCTTCCCGAGTGTGGTTGCAGTTGGTCTGCTGGGAATAGAACCCAAGCCCGAGAAGCCAGGCCTCACCGGTTCCAAGCCTGACACGCTCCCACACTGCATAGAGCCCGGTGGGCAGGCCACATGCAGCACCCATCCCTGTGTCTGTCTGAGCTCCCAACCAGGGTTTTGGCCTTGACCTGAGCAAAGCCCCTGGCATGGTGAACTCAGGAAGGCTGAGTCACGCGGCCAGCAGGACGGCCCCTTTGCAGGAAAGGACAGTGTGAGGGAGCACATGGGTGTTCTGGTTCTGTTCTGTGGGCTCAGGGCCCTGAAGGCAGCAGGGGCCAGAGGAGTTTGGCTCTGGTCTGGCCTCTGTTTCCCACGGAGGAAATAGACCACCACCTTGCCAAGAATGGGGGAAACATCTCACTTTTATACCAGCCCTTCTGGCCTGCCTGTGGGGAAACACAGCCCTTCCTTCCTGGCCAGCCAGTCAGAGCAGTCTGCTTTCTCCCTCCTGTGCAACCCCCAGGACGGTGGCTCCCTGGACCAAGTGCTGAAAGAGGCCAAGAGGATTCCCGAAGAGATCCTTGGGAAGGTCAGCATCGCGGTGAGTCTCCACCTGTCACCCACCTGTGCCCTGGTCCTTTGCTCGCAAGAGCTTGTGCCCACACCTGCCCCTTCTGTGTGGCCGGGGTTGGAGGAGCCACCCCAAGCTATGGGCAAGTGTTTGTGTGGCCCCTGCAAAGATAGCAGCCACTGCCGTGTCCACCGACCACAGGGGTTTGAGCAAGTGACTTCCCTTTGGGGTCCTCGAATCCCCATGTGCTGAGTGCAGGTGGCAGATCCCTCCTAGCTCCGAAGGGTCTCTGTCTGACCACACTATGTTAGGCCCAGCTGGAGCTGTGGGACAGCTCCGGGGGGAATGGCTGTTGTCCCCTTTGTGGAGGCCCTCCCCATCTCGTGATGGGCGGACACCACTGGCCACAAGGATTCAGATGGCATTGGACGGGCACTTGTTGAAGGGGAGATCCTGGGGCGGCACAGGGAACACTAAAACCTCTGACCATGCTCCCTCTGGCTGTCAGAAAATGTCTTTAGGGGATGGGACAGGGCATCTCTATGGCCACATCTTCTGCCCAGCAGCTTGGCAGAGCCTTGGGGTTTGGGGGTTGTGCCGGCTGGCCGTGTGATCTCAGCAGAGCATGTTACTTCTAGGAGCTCGTGTCTTTGCCCGTAAGATGGCAATAATACTCCCCTGGCTGGACAGGCGTTGGGATTGAATAAGACACCAGTGGCCTAGCCCACCACACCCTTAACCCATTCAGTCCAGGGCAGCCTTAGCACAGCCGCAGGAACTCCAGGGCATGAGGTTGTGTCCACGCCTGGCTGGCGGGCTGGACACTCCCCGGCTCACTAATGGCATGTTGGCTGCTGTCTGAGCTTCTGTGGGCCTCGGCTCCCACCTCTTTAGCATGGAGTCAGTGACAGCATAGGCCTCACCCGTGGGTGGCCATGTGATAGTCAGTGGGTCTGTGTACATCCCTACCAGCCTGTGGTGCTGGCCTCACCACCCTGGCAAGATCAACGCAGCCTGAAATAGGGTTCCCACGGCTTGTCCCACACGCTGTAGTCATTCAGGGGGAAAGCCCCCCTGGTGGCATCGTCCTTCTGACCCCTGTGCTGTGGCTCCCCCACAGGTTCTCCGGGGCTTGGCATATCTTCGGGAAAAGCACCAGATCATGCACCGAGGTAAGAAGGACCCCAGCGCTCTCTGGGTGAGCAGAATAGCGGGTGGGTGTCGCGTGTCCCCCATGCATGGCCTGCTCCCTCCTCAGACGTGAAACCTTCCAACATCCTGGTCAACTCCAGAGGCGAGATCAAGCTGTGTGACTTCGGGGTGAGCGGCCAGCTCATCGACTCCATGGCCAACTCCTTTGTGGGGACTCGGTCCTACATGTCTGTAAGTTCTCTCACCTCTCCCCTTTCCAATCTGCTCTTCCCGTTGCCAGGAAGTTTTCAGAAAGCCAGCATGTCCCCATAATCTATTTCTGGCTTTACTGGGATTTCCCCTTCATTCTAAATTCTTTCTCTTTTTTTTGGCGGCCGGCTGGTACAGGGATCAAACCCTGCACCTTGGTGTGACCAGCACCACACTCTAACCACTGAAGTAACCAACCAGCCCTCTGTCAAAGTCTGAATTCCAATCATCTTCTCACTGAGGATTTTGTCTCTCTGGAAGTGCCTCCCTGGGTTCTTTCTATTGGTAGTAAAACTCCAGTCAAGGAGGGCACTTAATTTCTGAACCAAGAACTTGGACTCCCGAGGGTTTTAGGAAATGGTTAGGTGGTCAGGAACCTGCCAAGTGGATCACAGGAGCAGATTCTGAAAAGCTAGTCTTGGATCATCCTGGAAAAGGGGGCAGCTCTCTGTCCTCCTGGGACCCATTGCCCTTTTCCAGAAGCTCTGAGCATCATGGGCTTTTCACAAGCAGTCCTGGCACCCGTGCAGAGCCCCAGGCCCAGGGTCTCCCTGGCAAGGGCTACGGGTGAGGCCTCCAGGGCCGGGAGCGCGGGGGGAGGTGGAATTGCTCTCTTTCTGCTGCTTTTGTCTGCAGCCGTGGGAGGAGGGGTGGCCAGGGCCGGGATGGGCCACGCCTGCCCTGCGTGTTCCAGCCGCCGTCCCTCCCCCTCAGGACTCCTCTTTCTCCCCTGTCACCCCCGACAGCCAGAGCGGTTGCAGGGCACACACTATTCGGTGCAGTCAGACATCTGGAGCATGGGCCTGTCTCTGGTGGAGCTGTCCATTGGCAGGTACCCTATACCCCCGCCTGATGCCAAGGAGCTGGAGGCCATATTTGGCCGGCCCATGGTCGACGGGGCAGAAGGAGAGCCTCACAGCATCTCACCACGGCCGAGACCCCCCGGGCGCCCCATCAGCGGTATGGCCTGAGTCTGTGACTTCCCGTTTGGAAGGGCGGTGACCTACGCACGCAGGGACTGGCACACCCGGGGGTGGCAGCTGCCTCCCCTCTGGCTCCATCCAGCACCACCTGTCCCCTGCATGGTGCTAGCTGCTGTCAGCAGTCCTCAGATGGTCCTGGGGTTTCTGGGGACAGAGCTCGACGCAGCAAGCGCCCCAAACCTGTTAGGTCCAGGGCAGCTGCACCTGTTGTTGCCAGCTGGAGGGATCTAGAAACTTAACTCCTCAGCCAAGCCTTGGGTTGGTTGGTTTTTCCAACATTTTATCACGAAAACATTCGAACACACGGAAAAGTGGGAGGAATTGCCCAGTGAGCAAACACCCTTATCCTCACCGCCTGGACGCTGCAGTTAGCACGTTGCTGTGTTTGGGCCATTCTTCTGGGGAGCCCTAACATTGAGGACCTGGGTTTTTTGGGGTTTTTGGGGTTTTTTGGCAGTTGGCTGGTATGGGGAACCGAACCCTTGACTTTGGTGTTACCAGGTTGCATTCTAACCAGCTGAGCTAACCAGCCAGCCCCTACGCTGAGACTTTGACTCAGAATTTCCTTAGGTGGCTTGTTGGATTCAGCCCCGAACGTAGTCTGGGAGGGAACAGAGGGCACCAGGCACTGGGGGAACACCTGGACTCCTGGAGAACACCTGTGCTTAGAGAGGCCGCTCCCCTGAACAGGGAGCTCCCTGCCCTGGAGACGTCAGGCTGGACGCTGTGGCCACTCCCGGGGATAGCAGGGAAGGGTCCTGGCGGAAGGTGCAGAGGCACCAACCAGCTCTTGGGTTCCTGTGATTTTTGTTTTGTTTTGTTTGCTTAAGTCAGGTGACAGGAAGAGAGTTAAGTTAGATGTTGTAATTTGTTGGTTTGTTTTATGACAACTTTATTGAAATGTAATTCACATACAGTACAATTCGCTTATTTAAGGTATACAACTCAGTGGGATTTAGTACTTTCACGATTTTGTACGTCCATCACCACACCCATAATTCCAGAACATTCCATCACCCCAAAAGGAAACCCCATCCCCATTAACAGCCACTCCCCATTCCCTCCCCCAGCCCCTGGCAATCACGATCCACTTTCTGTCTCTCTGGATTGGCCTGTTGTGGACATTTCATATAAATGGAATCACACACTGTGTTGCCTTTTGTGTCTGGTGTCTGTCACTCTGTGTGACGTGTTCAAGGTCCATGCACATGGTAGTGTATGTCAGCGCCTCGTTCCTTTTCATGACTGAGTAATGTTCCAGTGTGTGGATGGATCATGTTTTGTGGACAGACATTTGGGTTGTTCAATAGTGATTTTAACAGTATTTTCAAATCTGTTTCTTCCCCTGCAACCAGATTACTTGGGTGTCTTGATCTCAGCCAAGGGGAGAGGCACCCAGTTTCTGTCTTCAGGCCTGGCCCCTGCTCCTCCCAGTCGCCACACCCACGTGGCATTGAGGCCCCTCCCTGGAGCAAGAGCCCGCCAGCACCTTCCCCAGCCCGTGGGCCCGGCCTACATGCCCATTCCAGGATAGGGACAGGAGGCGAAAGTCCAGCTGCCAAGCCTGGACCTGGCCAGCTGGGTCTCTGACAGGGGTCCGCAACCCCCAGCTGGTCCCCTGTGCTGAGCGGCATTCAGGGCCTGCTGCTGCCACCACCAGCAGCTCCATGCAGGGTCACGCTGCTGTCCTTGCTGGAGGTCAGCACCCCCTCCTCTGCCCCGCCCATTGTTCCAGAAAGCAGAGGGTCACAACTTTGGCACGGCCTGAAAGCAGCACGGTGCCAAATGTGTGACTTCTCAAAAAATGCCCATGTTCGCTTTGGCTTTTTTTTTTTAATTCACTAGAGGCTTGGGAGTGAAGTCACTTTCCCAGGGACAGGAGCTCAGTACCCTTTTGTCCCGTGGCTCGGTACGCCCACCCCTGCCCCTGGTCTAGGCTGGAGTGGGCAAGGGGCACTCAGACACATTCAGCTCCTGGAGACATTGACCTTCACCAGGATTGAGGTGGTCACTGACCCCCCTCACCCCCATTTGTGTTTCTCCCCCATGTAGGTCATGGGATGGACAGCCGGCCGGCCATGGCCATCTTCGAGCTGCTGGACTATATTGTGAATGAGGTTCGTACCTGTGGCCCCTTTGGTGTCTCTTTATGCCGGGAGGTAAAGCCTTTCCTGCTGGAATATGTTACCAGAAAGAAAAGAATTCTAAGACCGGGCTATTGATTTTGTTGGGGAGGGGTCGCATGGTAGATCTAGACCACTCTTTGATAGGAGGTTATAACCTTCCTCTCTACTGCGCTGCACAAACCCACCCCATCCCCAAGGGAGATGGGCTTTTTTGTTTTTTTTTTATGAAGACCAACCCAGAATTCCCACCTCAGCCCCCTCCCGAGTCCCAAGGGACACAGAGCCTTGGCAGGCCTGTCCTTCAGCCCTGCAACACGGCATCTCTTCAGCTGAGTGTCGTGTGCGTGAACTTATAGATATTCCCCCTTCTGCAGAGAAAGGGACAGGTGTTGTGGCCCTCTCTGGGAAGAAGACTCAGAGAGCCTAGCAGGGCCAGGCTTGCCTTGCAGCACGTCTCAGGAGGATCCCGGGGGGGTCACAGGTCACCCTTTCCTGTGCGGGTTCTGTGGTCCTCTTGGTTAATCTTCATAACCCCCAATAAGCGGGTAGTGTGAATATTTCCACCAGGCAGATGAGCACACCCAGGGGGAAGGAGGGGTGTGACCTCCCAGGCCTACAGCTGGACCCCAAAGCCCTTCCTGTTGGCCACCAGGCCGGGTCCCCCTCCTTGGGCCTTCTGTGGACTTCAGTGTGTTTTCAGTGGCCCTTTGGAGTGCTGAGGCAAGCTGCCCAGATCAACCTCAGTGAAGACAGAGCAGGGTGGTGGCTCTGTGACACAGCTCACTGTATACCTAGCAGTGCCGCCCAGCAAGCACGTCCTCCTAGGAGGCCACTGGCTCCTCCACCCTGAGCAGGAACAAGCTGCCCAGATCAACCTCGGTGAAGACAGAGCAGGGTGGTGGCTCTGTGACACAGCTCACTGTATACCTGGCAGTGCCGCCCAGCAAGCACGTCCTCCTAGGAGGCCACTGGCTCCTCCACCCTGAGCAGGAAGGGCATGACCCAGCCACTTCCATGGCCATCCCCCCTCAGGGACATGTATGCCAGGCCAGGCTCCTTGGGCTCCCGAACCTCCAGAACTAGCTGTCCCTCTGGCTGGTCATGGTCCCCACATGGGAGAAAGGCTTTGGAAGGCACAGCGCAGTTGGGGTCTTGTGGCTGCAGGGCCTGCAGCGTGGGCAAGGAGGGCAGGACAGTGAGGGTCCCTGGGACACACAGGGCTGACCCTGCCCTTCCGTTCTCCACAGCCTCCCCCCAAGCTGCCCAACGGAGTTTTCACCCCAGATTTCCAGGAGTTTGTAAATAAATGGTAAGGTGTCCAGCTTGGCCGCGGGCGGGCAGGCGGGTGGGGCAACCCAGATGTGACGTTCCTTCCGGGTCCTGGGCCGCACCTACAGCCGAGCCTGCCAGTCAGCAATCCGGTTGGGTGGCAGGATTCCGCGGGACACCTGGCCCCATTCCCTTTCCCCAGGCTGCTGGGCCACGGTTCCCAGCCACCGTCCCAGCTCGTCCCAGAAACCTGGAGTGAACCAGGATTTCAGGCTCTTTGGAAATCACATCGTTCCCGCCTTGCCATCTGCCAGCAGAAGGAAAACTTCTGCCCGGTTTCCTAATCCCTCCAGTGGTGTGGCCACCAGCCTCCCAGCAGGCTTCTGGGAGAGTCCCCAACTCTTCCAAGGTTTTCCCACCTGCCAAGGACTGAGTAGCGTCTGTGACATGGCCTCGTGCAAGCATGCTGAGGACCAGGAAGGAAGACACAGACCCACCCCTGTGGGGCCGGCCTGTGTATCTGAGTGGACCTTGTCCACTGGCTGCCGCTTGGGGACTCCATGTAACTTGCAGCCACTACTGCACTTGTGGTGGTGAAGGGTGCCACAGGTCCTTTACACGACCCTCTGGCAGGCCTTGTAGACGGTTTTTTTTGGGGGGGGGTTCTTTTTAAAGATGACCAGTAAGGGGATCTTAACCCTTGACTTGACTTGGTGTTATCAGCACCACGCTCTCCCAAGTGAGCCACGGGCCAGCCCTCTTGTAGACATTTTTATATCGCCGCAAAGAGTTTTCTTTGTGTTGAAGAACCAACATTGGGCCCTAAGCTGCTCTGGTCTTTAGACCATTCTGCTTTTCTGAAGAAAAAACTTGACATTTGGACTCCCAAGCTTGGGATTTTTCTTAGAAAGTTAGCTGCGGTTGCTGCCAGGCTTTTTTTTTTTTTTTTAAAGATGACCGGTAAGGGGATCTTAACCCTTGGCTTGGTGTTGTCAGCACCGCACTCAGCCAGTGAGCAAACCGGCCATCGCTATATAGGATCCGAACCCGTAGCCTTGGTGTTGTCAGCACCGCGCTCAGCCAGTGAGCAAACCGGCCATCCCTATATGGGATCCGAACCCGTAGCCTTGGTGTTGTCAGCACTGCACTCTCCTGAGTGAGCCACAGGCCGGCCCTTAATATATCATTAGCTCCAATTAAGTAAACCTAGCACTTCTTTTTTTTTTTTTTGTCCTTTTTTTTGAGACCGGCCCCACCGCACTCAGCCAGTGAGCAAACCGGCCATCCCTATATAGGATCCGAACCCGTAGCCTTGGTGTTGTCAGCACCGCACTCAGCCAGTGAGCAAACCGGCCATCCCTATATAGGATCCGAACCCGTAGCCTTGGTGTTGTCAGCACCGCACTCAGCCAGTGAGCAAACCGGCCATCCCTATATAGGATCCGAACCCGTAGCCTTGGTGTTGTCAGCACCGCACTCAGCCAGTGAGCAAACCGGCCATCCCTATATAGGATCCGAACCCGTAGCCTTGGTGTTGTCAGCACCGCACTCAGCCAGTGAGCAAACCGGCCATCCCTATATAGGATCCGAACCCGTAGCCTTGGTGTTGTCAGCACCGCACTCAGCCAGTGAGCAAACCGGCCATCCCTATATAGGATCCGAACCCGCGGCGGGAGCGCTGCTGCACTCCCAGCGCCGCACTCTCCCGAGTGCGCCATGGGCTTGGCCCGCTGCCAGGCTTTTGATTGACCAGGCAGGTAAGGGTCTCCTGCCCTCTTTCCCTTTCCCTCCTTTCCTGTTCTGAGACCCTTGCCCTCCCCTTTCTGGAGGTTGGCCTGTCGCTGACACCAAAGGGCAGAATTGGAGCCCATCATCCTAGCAGGGGCCAGACACAAAGCAACGGGCTCGGGGCCCTGTGTCCAGGCCCCACAGGCCGGGCACCAGGACAGGGTGGCATGGGCTGCCCAGCCACAGCTTGAAACGCAGGTCCCCACAGAGCCACTGCCTAACCACCCTATCTCATCCCCTCTTTGTCCCCCCAGCCTAATTAAGAACCCAGCAGAGCGAGCCGACCTGAAGATGCTCATGGTGAGTCACGCCAACTGGCTCTGGGGTTTCAAGGGCGCAGCTGCAGCCTGGGCCTCAGAGAGAGGGGAGACCCCGCCGGGCACCTGGGCCAGCTGGGGTGTGGATGGGAGGAGAGTGTCGAGCTCGGAGCCCAGCTGAGGACCCTCTGCAAGTCTCCCTCGTCCATTAGCAGGAAGAATCGAGCTGGCCGGGGTCCTCTTGAATCCTGGGAGAGCAAAGTGGCCTGCTGTGTCTGGGGGGTTGAGGGGGTTTACTCGGGGGCCACAGTGGGCCCAGAGGCTCTGGGCTGCTCCCACCTCCTGAGCTTCCGAGGCTGCTCTTGGCCCTGTGGTCCTTTCCCTGAGACCCTAGTGGGTGTGCCCCTCGCAGGCCTGGGGTGTCTTGATGCTCTCTGGGTGTGTCCCCCTTGGCCTCCAGCTCCTCAGGCCGTGGGAGATTGCTGTCCAGGCACCCAGACACTTTCATCCTGGCCAGACCCTCCCCTCCTAGGAGGGGTGGTCTCAGGTGTCCTTTCTCTAAACTCCCACCATTCAGTGCCTTGTAAAGCCCAGCTGTTTACTGAGACTCACCTCCCCCAGCAGGGTGGGGATGGGGAGGCCACTAGGAGCCCAGGCCCATGTGCAGCCTTAGAGAGTGGGCCATTGAGGACGCCCTCCCCCAGCTCCTGCGGGCCAGTCCCACACCCAGGTGCCTTCCCCAGACCCATCCACGACCTGCGACCTTAGACTCCCCCTTCCTTGGTCAGCAGACGCCACAGTCTGAGATGCTGTCTGTTCACGGGCCTCTAAGAAAGAAAACGGTGCCTGTTACAGATGTGAGGCACTGATTATCAATCTCAGATGCCCAGACACACAGAGATGAGCATCTTATAATTGGTAGAATGTGGTGGGTTTTTTTGTTTTTTTTTTTTTCCTTTTTGTCTTTTTTCGTGACCGGTAACGGGATCGCAACCCTCAGTGTCGCACCCGTACCGCGACCGGCAACGGGATAGCAACCCTTGGTTTCACGCCCGCACCGCGCTCAGCCAGTGAGCGGACTGGTCTCTATATGGGATCCGAACCCTCGGCAGGAGCGCCGTCGCGCTCCCAAGCACCGCACTCTACCGAGTGCACCACTGGGCCGGCCCAAAATGTGGTGTTTTTAACAAGCAGTCCACGCCTTCAGTGGGTCGCTGCACCCTGGCCGAGGCCGATAGGCACTCAGGGTCAGATCCCACTCTTCCCCTTCCTCCCCCCTCCACTCTCTACCTTAGCTCCTTTGCACAGGATACTCCTCCCCATTCCATCCTGTGTATTCCAACTCAATGCCCAATCCCCATCCCTATTGGCTGCAGCGACAGCTGTGTGCCCCAGGTGTAGTGACCGATTGCTGTGGTCTGCATAGAGGAACTAGACCAGAGCTCCAGGTGGGAAGGGGTCTGTGTCCATATGAAGATAAAAATTCACCCCTGCACTCATGCGCTGAGTGAGTGCGTGACATAAGGAATAACTATACTTTGTAGAAAAATACACAGTAGGCCCCCCTTACCTGCAGGGGACATGTTTCAGGTCCCCCAGTGAACGCCTGAAACCGCAGATAGTAGTGAACCCTGTGCATACTGTTTTCTTCTATATGTACATACCTATGATAAAGTTTAATTTCTGAACTAGGCACAGTGAGAGATTAACAGCAGTAGCTACCAATAAAATAGAACAACTTTAACAATGCTCAGAATGGCATTCAATTTAAAACTTATCAGTTCATTTCTGGAATTTTCCATTTAATATTTTCCAACCGCCGTTGACCGAGGGTATCTGAAAGCACAGACAAGTGAGGACTACTGCACTTATAAAATGCAAAAGAGCATTAAATGTTGAAATGTTGAAACAGGGCTCGTTTTTAACCAGCTTCTTAAAAACTAGCTATTGTTTGGGGATAACCTCGTTATACTGAGCCCTGTCACGTCCTTCACCCAAACCTACGCCCACATCTTGGGAGGTGAGGACACCTGGCCTGCCTGCAGCCTGCACGAGAGGCAGCAGTTGGGAGCCTGCGGTCCCGGATGCCACCCCCTGCCCTCCGCAGGAACCCTGTGCCCCCCACCCCCTCCCCGCCAGCCAGGACAGCGTCCACTGGCCTCACCCAGCCCTTCCAAACTGGGAGTCTCCAGCACCGCGCTGTCCTGTATGGGAACCACTAGCCGGGAGTGGCTGTTTAAGTTTGTTAAAATGAACCAGAAGTCAGCCTTCGGTCCTTCAGCCCCACGAGCCACGGCTCCGGGGCTCCCGAGCCTCCTTAGCAGGCAGCGGCCGTGTGGGGTAGCGTGGGTGGAGAACTTCATGGAGAGCTCTGCTGCACAGAGCCATTCTCCACCAGATGTCTTCACCCAGGGAGGCTCCACCCCAGGGGACACTGGGCAATGTTTGGGGACATTTGTGGTTGTCATGACTGGAGGGAGCTCCTGGCATGGAGTGGGTGCAGGCCAGGGATGCTGCTCAGCACCTGCAGTGCCCGGGACGACCCCACCACAGGGAAGGATCTGGCCCCAGTGTGCATAGGGCCCAGGAGGACCCCTGGCTCGAGAGTCTAGGGCAGCCTGACCCTCGCCTCTGGAGTCCAGGACGACCCCACCACAGGGAAGGATCTGGCCCCAGTGTGCACAGGGCCCAGGAGGACCCCTGGCTCGAGAGTCTAGGGCAGCCTGACCCTCGCCTCTGGAGTCCGGGAGACCCCGGCCCAGGCCTGGGACATGCTCCTTACCCGCTCTGGGTTTGGTTCCTCTCTGCTGTCTTGAGCATGTCCTCCTGGGGCCAGCTGTCCTTTGTGTCTCTGTTTTTTGCTTTTTATCCTATATGGCATGTCAGGGCTGGGCAGAGACTGCTTCTGGTCCTCGTCGCCGCCGATGCACGGGCCCGCGATTCACGTGCCCCCCTTGCCTTCCAGAACCACGCCTTCATCAAGCGGTCCGAGGCGGAGGAAGTGGACTTCGCCGGCTGGTTGTGCAAAACACTGCGGCTCAACCAGCCCAGCACACCCACGCGCACCGCCGTGTGACGCCGCGGCCAGTGGGGACCTGGCCAGTGTCCCTGTCTGCGCCCCACCCCTCCAGCCACACCTCATTTCAACCATCTCCTGCCCGTCCCGGCCGGCGCGCTCGCGGGCCTCCGCCTCCGGGAAGGGGGCTGCTGCTCCCGTGTCGTCTGGGAACCTGCTTACTTAGGTTTAAAAAACAAAACAGGGAAAGAAAGCGAACCGCGCTCGTCCTACTCCTGTTGCACTTGGTGTTTGGGTGTCAGCCTGCGTTCCATCCCCAGGGTCGAGAAACTTCCGTGGGAGACCGGGGAGGGAGGGGGAAGATGGCGTTAGGACCCGGCTCTGCCTTTTTTCAAGGGATGAAGCCCTAGACCCTGACGTTTTTCACCCAAAAGGAAGGCTGTGCCGCCTGTGTCTGTGTCACAGCCCCTCTGCCTGCCCTCACCCCTGCCCACTTGGAAGAGCAGAGTCGGCCCTTCCGTGGTGATGGCCTCAGCTTCCTCCTCCCACCCCTTTCTGGCTGCTTCTGTCCCTTATCACGCAGCCTGGGAGGGAAGGCAGCCCTTGCCTGTTCCCAGCAGAGCGGGACATCAGGAGGGACCTTCTCTTCCTCTCCTAGCGCTTGAGCGAGCAGAGGCCGCTACCCCCCCGTAGCGGCAGCTGAGCGGAGGCTCGGCTCAGCAGAAAGGAAGTGCCGGGTCTCCAAGCTGTCGGTGTGGTTGAAAACCCCAGCAGATCCAGCAGATAAGCCCTGCACGGGCCCCCGCCCTTGCAACAAGCCCATTGCATGTGGGTGGGTTGCCCTGTCACCTCTGCTCCCCCAGCAAATCACAAGTGACCGCCTGGGCACGTCACTGCTTCGGGCCCTCAGACTGTTCAGCTGCAGTTGGTTGCACATGAAAATGGATGAGATCTTGTCCTAGTTCCCAAGGTCTTCGGGGTTCCCGCCAGACCCTCCCCTTGGTCTACATGTTGCCCAAGGCCCAGCCTTTCTGCCTTCAGGGCCACATCACCTGGGACATATGGAGGTCTCTGAGGTGGAAGCAGCACAGGGCTGGGCTGTATCGAAGGCCTCCCTTCTGAGTTATGTGAAGATGAAGCTGTGAGCTGCCCCCCCCTCCCCCGCCAATACTTGCTGAAGATAGAAACAAGCTGATATTTATCTGTGGGCAAATTGCAGGGGAAGGATTGCTGGAGAAGGCTGAGCAGAAGGGCTTGTGGTCCTGTGGGAACCGCTGGATCATCTTTTTCTTACGGAGACCCTTCTAGTCTCATGTGTTGTTTTTCCTGCAGACACAGATGCCATCCTGTGGGTAACCAAGATCCCTCAGGAACATCCCTGGAGGGCTCGGGGGTGAACTTCCATGGTTGGTGAGGGCCCTCTCTCATCTCACAGCTGGGCTTGAAGGCTATGGGGGAGGGGGCCGACCCCCCACAGCTCCCAGCCTGACTGTGTGACCAGGGAGGCATCTCCACCAGCACGTTGGGAGGGCAGGTGCTGCCCCCATGGCCGCGAAGCCGTGGGCAGGGTCCCTGCTGCATGTTCTACTGTTCTGTAGCTTTCACCGGGATCCTGCGGGACCTCAGAGAATGGCAGGAGAGAAACTGTGGCCTTTTATTTTTTCCCACTTTGCACTAGAACTAGGCTTCTAAAAACAAGGACTCCAAGGGGACCTCTTTCTAGGTTATGGCAATAGCATTTGTACCGTCGACAGCCACGGTTTCCTCGTGTCTCTCTCCCCAACCTCATCCCCATCCCCTGGAGACACCCCCAGACTCAGCCATCCTCTGCTCCGAGACCCCCACTCAAGGCCTAGGAATGAAGCTCAGGCGCTCCCAAAGGTTTGGCCAAAGCTGGCCACCCACCTGGGGACACCCACTCCCCATCCCAGGTGTCAGGTGCCTCTGGTGCAGTGGGCCAGGCCCTTTTCCATAAATCACGTGAGTTGGCACCACACAGACAGACTGACAGACACTTTGAGGCTCCAGCTCGCTCCCTGTGGTTGGAAGGTTTTGAACACATCTGTTGAGGGTTTTTTGTGGTTATTTATTAAAAATCTCAAGACGACCAACTATGAGATGTCTCAAAGATGCAGATGCCATGTTTGAGGGCCACCCGTGGACACGGGGCACGCACCTGTGATCCAAAGTGCCCCTCTGTCGGACCACTTTGTCCTCCTCTTCCCCCAAAAAACATCAGCAGTCGAATCTCAAATCATGGAGTTGCTAAGTTGTTAGGTGTTTTCATTCGTGTTGGCTTGGCTTGGCTTTCTTTTTTTTTTTGGTGCTTAGTCGGGAAAACAACATGCAGTGTTTGTCAATTTTTTTCGTCTCAATATTTTCCTCCTGAATAAACAGCACCTTCTGTGACCACGTGTGCTTCCCCAGTGTCCCCGGAGAGCGTAGGCAGTTGCCGAGGCCCCTTTCCTCGTTGCAGTCGCTTTTCCCTTTCGGTACTGTCTGCGCCTGGACGTCCTCAGCAGCTCACCCGCTGGCTGGCGGGATATGTGACCCGCCAAAACGTCACCCCACTCAATTAAAGCCACACGGGCTTTGACGCCCCCCCCCTCAGCCAGCCAGCAGTGTGTCCAGGCAGGATCCGTAAATATTCGGTTTATTAAAGCTCGGGATCACAGGCGACCGCCTGCTGGCTTCATCCCATGGAATTCTCCCCGGATCAGATCAGGCCCGGCACTAGGATGGCTGCGTTTCCTTCTCTGGCTGTAGCGAGCCCTCCTGGATGGGGCAAGTAAAGTTAAAATAAAATAGGTCTACAAAAGTAGCAGCCCCCTGGAGGGTGGGAGATGACAGGCGGATGTCTATGCAAGGCCCTCCTGTCCCCTGCAACTGTGATTTAAATTCCCCAGTAGCAAAAAAACCCAAAAAACATCATAGGGGCTGGCCAGTTAGCTCAGCTGGTTTAGAGTGCAGTGTTATAAACCAAGGTCAAGTGTTCAGATCCCCATACCAGCCAGCCACCAAAAAAAAAAAAAAAAATGCCAGTAGCCATGTTTGAAACAGGAGAAACAGGTGAAGTTAATCTGATGGTATATTTTATCTAACCCAGTATAGCCAAAATATTACCATTTCACCTTATAATCAATATGAGAAATTACTAGTGTGGTATTTCACCTTTTTTGGAGGGGGGGTATTCAAAGTCTTTGGAATCTTTGTCTTTACCTTTAATGCCACAAGTGGCCAGAGGCTGCTGGAAGGGACAGCACAGGTCTAAATCATTTCTGTACCCTGTCCCCTCCCAGCTGTTATTTAGCCCATTGGGTCTCAACAGGGATAATTCTGTGCCCCCACCCAGCAGACACTGGGCAATGTCTGAGGACATTTGTGGTTGTCACAACTGGGGGGAGCTCCTGGCATGGAGTGGGTGGAGGCCAGGGACGCTGCTCAGCACGTGCAGCGCCCAGGACGGCCCTGCCACAGAGAAGGAGCTGGCTCTAACAGGTAGTCCTCCCTGGGGCCACCGGGTTTTCTGTGACCAGAGACTGGGACACAGTGGGAAGGCGCACAGGGGAGAATCCTCACCCTGGGTGGGAAACGGCAGGAACAGCACAGAACCTTCTAGAAGGTGGGCAGTCTGGAGCAGCGAGCTCAGTCGCGCTGCTGGGGGCGGAGGTGTGTGACCGGCAGGAAGCCTCAGGTCCTAGAAGCGGAACTCAGCCGCCCTCTCGGGGGACTCCAGGGCCTGGTTAACGGAGTTTAGAGGAAGCTGCCACAGGGTTTCCCAGAAGGCAGGGGTCCTGCGTGGAGCAGGAGCGAGGAAGGGGAAGCAGGCTGGAAATGAAACCAGCAGGAGCCTCAGGCCTCCCCCCCTCCTCCCTGCCTCTGAGCTGACCAGGTGTGGCGGCCCAGGGCCTAGGCCGCACCTGGAGCAACAGGCCAGGTGGGTCAAGGCTGCAGAGAGCTACTGTTCTGCACTCCTGGTGCAACACGGGTGAAAAGGTGTGCCGGAACCTCGGCCCCAGTCTCACCTTTCTGTCCAGGGGCAGAAGGGGGTGGGCCTGCAGAGATGCACCTAGGGAACCAGAGCAAGGCCCTCAGAGGTCAGCACAGGTTAGAGAGGGATGGACACACCCTGAGCCATGGCCCAGCTGCTTCAGCCCTGTCCCCTCCCCTCCAGTGACTCACATGCGCCTGGCATGGCACAAGGTCCCTATTTGAACTTCAGGCCACAGACCCAGGAGCCTGGATTCACATCGCCACTACCCCTGGCTCTGTGACCTTGAGGAAGGTTGTGCCTGACACCCTGGAGTCTCAGTTTCCCTGTCTATAAAGGGAATCATCACAGACTGAATGAGATGGCTCCTCAGAAGGAGCAAATCCTCTCCACAGGTTTGAGGAGGCTTGATCCCTTCTCTTGCACCCCGTGATGTAGGCAGAACAGGTTTTCCTGTCCCTGCCAGGCTTCTACGGCAGCCAAGCCCCAGAGAGGTTGGGAGTCTCATCCGAGGAGATGTGGGGTCCGTGATCTTGGCCCTGCTTTCTGCCCCCACTCAGGTTACTACCTTTATAGTCCACAAACACTTAGGGCTTTTTTGTAGTGCCCCATGGGGGATCCTAAAAGCTAAGCGACCCTGCCTAAGGTGCTGGGCCCAGAAGTAAGAAGAGCCCACAGTTGCCCTAAGGCCTCAAGGCAGAGCCAGCCGGAAGCCGAGACTCCTGGGAAGGCGGCCAAGCCAGAGCCCACAGGTGGGGAGGGCATCCAAGGCGGGGCAACCATGTGGGCAAAAGCTTGGCACTGGATGGTGTAACGCAAGCCCTTGGAGAAGCCCAGTGCACTGGGGGCCTGGGCTGGGGGCACAAGGAGGATGGGGTTCCGTATGTTTCACAACAGTCTGGCAGAGCAGTGGTCAACCAGGATGTGTGTAGGACGTGGCCTGAGCTCAAAAGGTGTCAGGGAGGGCCGGCCCATGGCTCACTCAGGAGAGTGCGGTGCTGACAACACCAAGGTCAAGGGTTAAGATCCTCCTACTGGTCATCTTTAAAAAAAAAAAAAAAAAGAAGGTGTCAGGGAGCTCCCTACCATGCCTGGTGTCCACCTTCAGATTCTGGGGCTGAGGCTGGGAACAAGGGGACTTGGAGCATTGGCCGTTTACCATGTCACCATTTTTACCCTCAGAGGGCTTTGGTGGCGGCATAGCTAGTTGCTGAACAGGAAGCCAGGTCAGTTGGGTGCAACATGATGGGCCTTGAATGTCTGGTTAAAAAGCTAAAGCTTGGGGCCGGCCCGGTGGCACACTGGAGAGTGCGCCGCTTGGGAGCGCGGCGGCACTCCCGCTGAGGGTTCGGATCCCATGTGGAGACTGGTTCCCGCTCACTGGCTGAGCGCGGTGCGGGCGCAACACCAAGGGTTGCGATCCCGTTGCCGGTCAGTAAAAAAGACAAAAAGGAAAAAAAAAAAAAAAAAGCTAAAGCTTGGAGGCTGGCCGGCGAGCTCGGTCGGTGAGAGCCTGGTGTTGATAACACCAAGGTCAAGGGTTTGGGTCCCTGTACCAAAAAAATAATTATGATAAAAAAGAAACTGAAGTTCAACATGTTAAACATGGAGTTTTTACATGACCCAGCAATTCTGCTCCTAGGTATATGCCCAGAGAAATGAAAACATGCGTTCCTGCAAAAACACACACACACGTTCACAGCAGCATGATTCACAATAACCAAAGGGTGGATGCAACCCAGTGTCCATCAATGGATGAATGGACAAGCACAACGTGGTCCATCCACACAGTGGAATGTTACTCAGCTGTGAAAAGGGAGGAAATTCTGACACATGCTACAACATGGATGGACTTTGAAGATGTTATGGTAAATACAATAAACCAGAAGGGGGAGGAGGAGGAATCCCCTGAGACATAGGAGGGGAGCCCCTTGGGGGTCCCTAAGATAGTAGCAGCAGAGCCATGTGGGCTGAGGAAGCAGGAGACCCCAAGTGCAGAGAAGTGCAGGAGAAGATTAGAACGTAGCTGGAGCTAACGCTTGCAGGGCATCCACCATGTACATTCCATATCTGTACACCCATCTAATCCTCCCAACCACCCTTCGAGGGAGGGAGTACTGATATCTCATTTTACAGGTAACAACACTGAGGCACAGAGAAGGTAGGTAACTTGCCCCAGGTCACACAGCTCTGAAGCAGCTAAGCCTGGATTCCAACCCAGGCCCTCTGTTGCTAGAAGAGATGACCACTCTCCTCTACTACCTCCCTTGGGGGGGGTTGGGGGTGGAGGGAGAGACTTAGGCAGGATTCTGTCAGAATAAAAAGTGCCACTTAGCCACCGGCGTGCAAATCATTCACTTGCCTCCTGTCTTTGTACCTGCTGTTCCCTGTTCTGGAAGGTTCTTTCTTCTATCCCCCATCCCCACCCCCACCTCCTGCTTAAACTTCAGGCTCAGGGTAACCTTCCTCTTCCCCCAGCCAAGGGCTCGCAGGACCCCCTCCCCAGCGTGGCTCATTTAACTTGCCTGTCTCCCATCTTTGTGACCTTGGATTTGGCAATGGGTTCTTAAATAACACAGGTAACTTCAAAGAGCAAAAGAAAAACTCAATAAACTGGGCCTTATCACAATTAAAATGTGGGGCATCAAAGAACACTATTGAGTGAAAAGACAAACAGAGCGGGAGAAGATATTTGCAGATCGTGTATCCGATAAGGGTGTGGGATCCAGAATATATAAAGAACATTTGCCAGTCAACAACGAAAGGACAAACAGCCTCATGGAAAAAGGGCAGAAGACTTGAATAGACATTTCTCCAGAGATCTACGAGGAGCCGATAAGCTGGTGAAAAGATGCTCGACCACAGCACTGGGGAAGGACAGCCGTGGACAAGGTCTCTCCAGCGCGAGGCGTGGGGTCTGCCCCCGGAGGCTCAAGCGGGACAGGGAGGATTGGGGGCCTGGATTCCTGGGGTCTCTGCCCGTGATGCTCAACACCCCTGCGTGCAGGGAGGAGAGAAATGACATTGAAGATTCAGGGTCAGGGGTGTGGTAAGAGCCTAGGAGAGGCTGGGGTCGGGGAGAAGGCAGCCCCACCTCCCACGGGCTGGGAACTAAAGGGACAATGAAAGGTGGAACCCCACGTGAAAGTGCCTCCCCTCCCCTCCCGGTCCCTCTGGCAGTTGGCCCTCCTCACCATTAAAGGGCAGGGGCCACTGTGTTCCCAGCCCACCTGGCCCTGCTTCTCCCTGGGCCTCTGCGGGGCCCCACGTTGGAAACCCTAAAGTCTGCCCCTAAGGTTCTGGGAACCTCTCTGGGTCTTCTGTTTTCCCAGGTATATAATCAGGCCAACCTGGGAGGGGTGGAGAGGAGCTTTCAGGGGAGCACAGAGCAGCCGGCCCTGGCAGGACCCCACAGAGCTTG